GTTGGTGTTTATCAAATGCTCTTCGGATACTAGCCATGCATTTTTCTGTTATAAACGAAATGACTTAGGAATAAAAGATATTGTGGAAATCGTCCACTTTTCACTTTCTTCTAATCTCTTTTGCAAACATTTTCGAAGTGCAGGCATATTCAAGGCTAAAGTCTGCAGTTTCTGTACCATTTTACACTTTTCTAGCGTTTCAATTCGTTTTGAAATGGACATTGTTAGCTGAACATATTTAAACAGTCAAGATGTATTTGTACACTCCTGTTAAATGTCTCTTTGTAAATTTTGTGAGAAAAGAAATTTAAAAGTAATCTCATCAAGTTCAATAAGAAGTAGAAATTTTAGTGAGAACTATTTCATTGCTGGTTGTAGAGCTCAAAGAGGAAAAGGTCGCCCCACACAAAGATGCATGGACAAAATTCCTATCCAACGAGGATCCTGGCCAGAGGACGGTGTTTGACAGCGAGCTTGAAGATCGAATGCTTGAGGTAGGTTTGGTGATAGTATTAGATTATATTAGTAGGTGCAATAAACACAGCTGTTTAGAGTTGCGTTGAACACGAATCTTATATTTTTAAAATATTTTCAGACAGAAGAAGAGACGCTACCAGAGCGAATTTCTCGAATTAGCGCAGATGATCTTGAGTTCCAGATGGCTTACAACGCCAGCAAGGTTCGTAGCCTAAAACAACCTAAGCATATCTGCTAAAATGTTACTTCTTTTCCCTTTGAACTCCTCAGCCGTGGATGCTTTTAATGACAAATTATTAAACTCTTGGCATTTTGCTACTTCAAGATGAAATACCTGAGCAAAAAAAGATATCTGTCAGATTATGAATACATTATTAGATATCAGCTTTACACTTTAGGTTAAGCATTGTGATTTTCCATTTTCTAGATGTAAATCTCTTAAAGATTAGTGCATTGTAGTCTCTTTATAAGTAATTATGTTAAAGGTTTTAGATGCTTACTTTATTTCAAAACGTTTAAACGACGCACATACTGCTCCGAGGAATTATTCCTTGTTCAAAATTGTGATTCCGTAACTTAAAATATGAACGAAGCGAACAAACACCAAAAACATTAGCCGACTTGCCTCAAATATTGTGTAATCTTTTCTTAAATAAACTAAGC